GACACACTTTAAGATCTTAATACACTATTGTCATAGTAAGTTTCAACTCGTCATAACATTAAATATATTCATAGGACGAAACGTATGTGTATTAGCTAATCATAAGTAAAAAATCATCCGGGTATGCTTCCCTATATAGTCATTATTAGCATCCGGATTTGCTTTATACTTCCGCCTTTAAAGTCCACCTCTCCACCTCAAATCAGTTTGCACCTCAAATTAGCATAAAAACAATCACTCTATACTACTCCAATCTTTTCAAGGTAGTTGGAAAGGGGTACATTGTGAGTGTCATGATGAACGCCATGGCAAAACCTACTGGTACTCATAATACATGTATATACGGAAGAATTTTTCAACATGATATAATTTTTTTTAAGCAAGATGTCTAAATATTTTCTTGCAAATTCTTTCTCATTATGTGCGAGGATGATAACTCGTATACCATCAAGATCCTTCGTCAACCTCGTACAATGGGATGCATACATATAGTTAAGATTGATAACAAAACGAAACGTTCGGAGAACATCCAAATTTATTACAAGTTCTTGCTATCGCAGTTGAATGTGCACTTAAATTCACAAAGTTGATAAAATCAGAAGACCCATGATTATACAAATATAAAAAGTCAAAATACAAGACAAGACAAATAAATCATAATGAACTAATTTTTATAGGAAGCAACATTAAATAGTTCATTTATTTTGGATCCTCTTTCAAACACTTGAACATTATAAAACTCGATTGAAACCAACTGTATGTCTTGGAATATTTTCGGGGAATCTATATATTACGAAAAAATCGACTTGTTATAAATTTGTGAACATATGAAAACTATACCATTAGACACATTGTCCTCATCTTTTCCATATACTGTAATCATTTTTTTTTTTACAAAAGGAATCCAGAGAAGGTTGTCACAGGTACAGAGTCGGAATAGTATCCATTGCCTGTATAACGTTTGACCCACACTTTGTCTCCCTGATTAAGCTTTAACACAACCAGGTTAACCCCTGCCTCGTAATAATCATTACCACCACTGTCGTATGCCATTGTCTTGACCTTGGATTCTCCATTCAATACAATGTCCACCCGAATGTCGTTTGTACCATAACTCTGTACACTGACGAAGAAGACGTAGTGCCCGTCCACGGGGGCCGTGAACATCCCTGTAGTGGGGTTGTAACCTCCACCTGTATTAAATATTATCTTGGGGAAAACCAGTGTACTTCCGCTCCATGAAGAGTCGGAGGACGTTATACCCGCGGTGAAGGCAACTTTTGTAGACACATCTAAAACACAATAGCAATGTTTCACTTTACTTTCAATTGATTCGAGTATTTATTTAATTTAATTTAGTATCAAATTACTACTAAATTAAACTACAAATACTTTATTAATTTTGAATTAAATTATTAGTATGGTATTCAAGAGTGAATTCAAAAATTAAAAAGTTAGGGATAACAAACAAAAAAACTAATTTGAAATTCCACAAACATCAATTGTATTTGAATAATAGTATATAGTAAACTGTCGAAAGGTGTAGGGTTATCAATAAAAAAAAATTTTAATTCCAAGATGAAATCAATTTTGCTATTTAGTGACTACACTTTTAAATGATTTTTTCAGGATAGGGAAGTGAGAATTTATAGATCAAGCCGTAAATGATGTGGACGCCCTACTCATACAAAAAATACAATGTTTTAAAAAAAACTAACACTATCTGTTTTTAAATACATACCACACCGCTTGTTGGTAAAATTCAATCGGAACACCTCAAGAGATGACACAGAAGACGAGAGTTTTAATTGTTCAAACTGAGTCTGTTTGAGTTCCGATTGAAGGCCTTCTATTGTGTTGTTCATATGATCTGTAAAGACAGAGTAACGAAGATGCGTAAGGTAAAATTATTTCCCTCTGTTTTCATATATTAAATCTAATGTAATACAGTTAACTTAAATGATATCGTTGTGTAAATAGTTCCCTATATACCGGTGAAAACAGAGGGGAATGTTCGTTTTTTATTCATCTGTCCGTCCATCCGTCAGTGTAGCTGTCTGTCTGTCCGTCCGTCAGTCTATCTGTCAGTCTGTCTCATTTGGCTGTCTGTCACACGAACGATTTGATCCACCCCAATCACAACTTGAGTAAAAACAGTTTTTTTAACACCGTGTGCCAAGAGTTTATGAGGAAAATAGCGTATCAGAAACTCTTAATGGCTAGCGAAGATGAGGTTATTCGCAATTTTTTTTTTAACTCTTTCATATATTGAGCTGAATTTTGTAATTGACTCTACCATCATGAGTTTAAGATCAAGTTTGCATTTTGTTCCGCTTCAATATATATGAAGGAATCAAGGCATTTTCAATTTTTAAAGGGAACCAGCTGGTTACCCTTGCCGGTGTCGCATAATATTTGGTCCGCCTCGTTTAAAGACCCAATTTTTTTTACCGTACGGTTACCTGAGGAGGGGGAGTGGTCCAAGTAACAGTGATGTTATTTACCTGGAGACCCCCAATACCCAAAATGTCAAAAATCTATATACACGTAGCATTACACAGGAAGTCTGTGTCTGGTGATCAGGGTCAACATTCCGTGTTTCGTGTCTAAATTTGAGTGAAACTCTTTGAAATAACTGAAATATTTCAATATAAAATTTATTTATACTTTCAGAGGAAAAAAATTATAAAGAAACATCGTTTTTATAATAAAAAAAATGTAAAATTAACGAAAAGAACACAGAGTAAAACTACAAAGTAAACATACCTTTTTCAATTAAACTTGTGTAAATATCAAAATTTAAAAAAAATAATGAAATATTCCATTCATAAGCCTACCCGTCGTGTGAACATATACAATGAACCGCGATAGGAATATTGCTTACGTTCTGACCTACAATGGTGTCGAAAATATTCACCATTTCCGGGTATTCGTTTGTTTAAATTTTTTCATTGTTTGCAAGATTTCATTCATACGTACTGTTAAGAATTCATCTTTGGCTTTATATATTCACTTTTTAATTTCGAATATTGTGTATTGACAGACGTTAGGAAATTCGAACTAAAAGTTACAATTTCGAAACTCATGTTTCTGACATTTCAGAACTTTACAACGGAACATGATGTAGATTGTATTCATATATACATAGATATAACATGGTATAAAGGAATTTTTTATCCATGCCGTTTGTGCTAAATATCTTTTCTTATTTATCATATTCCAATTTTACGAAAGCCCAGAAGGCTCATTCGAGATTCGAGTTTCCAAATACGAGATTCGAAATTCGAGATTCAAAATTCGAAATTCGAGATTCAAAATTCGAGTTTCGAGATTCAAGATCCAAACGAACCAATCAAAAGCGGGTTCAACATTTGATTATTTCCCTTTATTATGTTTTTACTATCAAGAAATAATTCAATATAATTATATCAAATGGGTCATTTGATTAAATTACAATGCAAGAAAAAGTGTTATATATATTAGAGGGAAATTTAAATAATTAATGGATTTTTGATCCGCAATGAATATTTCAATTTATATTATAGATTCTTAAATATTAAATAGATTACATATATCAGGAGTATATAATTATATTTTTGTATAGATGACAACTTACCGGCCGCCAGGAGATGGTCGGTTATATGATATGAAAGTTCGAAGTCGGTGTGCGTTTCTGCGGAGTGAAAACAATTTAAATAAAAATATTTAACATTAATATAATAGTCGTATATTAAAAAGACGGTCTTAAGGTTAAAGAAAAACGCACATTAAACATAAAATTAAAAATTCTTATGAAGAATGAGGTAAATAATTCATCCAATACTGACTTAGAAATTTAGATATGTTTGAAGTGCGGAGAAAATTAAGACATGTGTTGGGCGTAGTCTAAATCAAAGACCGCGTTATGTATATTACACAATTTTACTTTCTCTATTCAAACGGGATTTGTTGTACGTATTTATTTTAAAATGACGTGTACATATGTACACATATAAACATTTTGAAAAATATGGTTAAATGTAAATTCATTAAAAGACTTAGCAGGCTACAAAATATTACAAGATTTGGCCCTTAGCAGACGAGGATAATGCACGTTTTACAATGTGCCAAGAATTTTCCCGCTAAAACTCAAAGAGAAGAAATGAAGTGGCGGATCTAGAGGGAGTTTAGTTTTTTCCTCTAAGAGAGAGCAAGGATACCAACATATTTGCTGCATTTTTATTAAATTAAACTACACTGCATATCTAGTTGTAGATTACATTTAATTCTAGTTTTAAACTTTTAATGTAAATGCCATACAGGCCCACGGTTCAAAAGTTGTTGACGCAGAGTACCAGGGGTTAATACTGAACATGCATTATATAATTAAGAAAATCATGCAATGTAGAGCACAAGCTTTTAATATCACGAGGATATATATTAAAAGATAAATATAAGATATTTTAAAAACAGACCACCATAGTCTTTAGTTGCTTCATAAAAGGAACATTAATTGGTTTGCGGCCGATTTTTGACGCCTACGTCAATACATGTTTCTTGTCTTAATTTTTAGAAAAAAACAGGTACGTGTGGACAAGACCCCCCCCCCCCCCCCTTGATATTGAACCCCGGGGCTTATTTCTCTGTTATGTGTAGCCTTACAATACGAAAAAAAATCGCTGGCGTAAAACCCCCAGAATAATCGCTCAACCAAAAAAAACAAAACAAAAAAACACTATTTATTACCCCACTTTACAAGAAAGAAAGCTGTTTACGGAAAAAATGGGGGATTATTACGTGATGCAGAGTCAGTCCGATAGCATGGACTAAGACAGAAATCAGTGGCAGATTTAAGGGGGGGGCACCCGGCGCGCGCCCCCTTAAAATTGTCCATGTTAGCATAAAACATAGTTTGTCGAGAAAATGTTTTAAATGTCTACTCGGTAGACCTCATTTTTACCCTACAAAACCTCTAGAATCCAAGAGCTTCCGGGGCCTTCGCCCCCTGGGCCCCCACCAGGGCTTTGCCCTGGACCCACTGGGGGCCTCAAGGCGGCCTTCAGACCCCCTGCCTGAATCTGGCGCCCCCCTAACTTCAATTCCTGGATCCGCCCCTGGAAATACATTGTATATGTAGAGACAGTGTGAATCGACATATAAAGTTAAAACAAAATAAATGCATTTAACACCAGTGGGGGTACAACGTAAACAGACTGGAGTGGCATATCCTTCTCTTATAATGTATAGTGGGTATTTGGGGGGGGATGTTGAGCGATTATTCTGGGGATTTTACATTTTTTGTTATTGTATACATGATGAATAAGTTTAATAAATAAAACTTGTGAAAAAAATGTCCAATAAGCCCTAGGGTTGAGTATCGAGGGGGGAGGGGGGGTGGTACCTTTCACAGGTACCCGGGGTTTTCCTAACACAGGAAATGCATAAAAATTAAGTTTAGTAGACAATTCAAAAATATATATACTCCTGATATATGAAATCTATTTAATATTTAAGAATCTATAATATAAATAAAAATATTTTTTGCTGATCAAAATTCCATTAATTATTTAAATTTCCCTCTAATATATATAACGCTTTTTCTTGCATTGTAATTTAATCAAATGACCCATTTGATATAATTATATTGAACTATTTCTTGATAGTAAAAACATAATAAAGGGAAATAATCAAATGTTGAACCCGCTTTTGATTGGTTCGTTTGGATCTTGAATCTCGAAACTCGAATTTTGAATCTCGAATTTCGAATTTTGAATCTCGAATTTCGAATCTCGTATTTGGAAACTCGAATCTCGAATGAGCCTTCTGGGCTTTCGTACAATTTTAATCGGCAAATAGCGTTTCTGTGAACGGACCGGTCTAAATTCTACAGCAGATATCTTGGACGACATATCGCCTAAAAGTATACAATATAACCGTTGAGATTGAAAGCAAATATTCTTTGAAGTCATGTTTTAATTATCTACTCTCAATTGTTATTGAAATAAAATTTTACCAAGTTTCTTTTTTTTAACTCCCGTGTACACAAGGCGGCTACATGAAAGTGTTTGACGCGTGACCAGGCAATGTTTTTTCAAAGGACACAAACTCAGACTATCAGGTAGCACGGGTAGCTGGCCTGTCAATCAATTCAGAAGCTATTGTTTTTTTTAATGATTGACAGGCGGTAAATTATTGATCTTGAATCAGGTAGATTTTGGGGGCGTTAACATAAAATTGGTCCGGCCGGACCAAATACGATAACGTATTTGGTCCGCCTTTTATAAGAAATGGTCCGGCCCGTATAAGGAATGGTCCGCCTACGTTTTATGGTCCGGGTGGTGAAAAAACGTTTTAATTTTGACTTAAACATAGGAAATTAAAGCGATTTTGTTTAAACTATATAATGAAAGAAGGGTGTACCCTGTTGTGTTTTATGTTTTGTACAACATATCTAGGACAAGAATCTACTCCTCATTCAGTTTACTTTAAGCATTGCTGTTTATCTAATACCATGATTAAAAATAAAATAATGGCACAGTTATTGTGCAAGTGTTTGTTTTTCTCTAGAATATGCCTTGTGTAAATTAGTTCGATTAAAGGTGTGGAATCTGTCAGTGTGTATAGCTAATAAAACAATGGGGGTGTGACGTATTTATTTACCTGACAGGTACCTGCAGGTAGAGCCCGCGGCAGATGGCGCTGTAATTGAATGGTCTGAGAACTTAATGGTCATGACTTACCTTGACATATCAATAAGTTTGGATTTTTTTTATTCATAAATAATATCAAGGAACACTTCAACCCTGTGACATTTATAATAATCATAATTATATATTGTCTTTTTTTAATATTCAAAGCTAATTAAATGTGGCGTATCTGAGCTAAAAAATAAGAATACGAAATGAATGAGCGTAGATTTACATGAGATTTGATATTTAAGTTCAAAATAAAATTTCAATTCGATTATGAACTTAAATATCCCCTTGTTTCTATAGTTAAATTGACTTTTAACTGTGTCTGATATTTAAATACCGAGTCGATAAAAATCGTTCATTGTTTTTAATCTCTGATATCTATGAAACGCGATTGATTATCATTAAGATGTATAATTTTCATTATCATCTCATTATTATTTATTATATTATTTATTTCATTATGCCTTTTCCGGATTTTAGTACTAGTATTACTATAAAAGCAACATACACTTCCAGAATGCTTGTTCATGACAGTGAAACAAACTACATGTTGATGTTATATTCCAAGGGAAAAAAACAGAAGTCTCTTTGACGTTCGCTGTTATTGATTTAAAAAAAAAATTCTCCGAAATAAACATTCCACAAACATTTAAATTCCAGTGAATTATCAAGCATTTGTCCAAAATGTTAAGAAAATTAGATTACGAACCACAAATAAGAGAAACATTTCGGCTAGCGGGGTTAAAAAGTACTTAAAAAGTTTTTAATTATTTCAAATATAGAAAAAACTAATAAATTTGGTTTACAGTCAACTCGTATAGCCTGTTTCCCTGGTCTACCCATAATGCTCCGCAAAAGTACTCCTTTTGCGGAGCATTATGGGTAGGCCAGGGAAACAGGCTATCAACTCGTACACAAACCGTCTCGTACACAAACCGACTCGTACACCAAAAGTCAACTCGTACACAAATCAAAAGTCAACTCGTACACAAATCAAAAGTCAACTCGTACACAAACTAATGTCATTTGTACATAGTTCTCTATGTGATTTATTGTATAGTTTTCCTCTGTGTTAAAAAACTGAGGAGTCAACTCGTACACAAAGTTTTTTTTGGTACATTTTAATCTTTTTATGCCGCTGATTTTACCTATACCGTATGCGCAGATTGTTTTTTTCTTATTATAAGGTTTTTTGTTGCGTAAATCTTGGGCGTCAACTCCTACACATTTTTCGTTATTTAAATATATATTTATTTGATACATAAATGAGAAGTGCCGATTTTTTTTATTCTGTAAATTTCATTGCAAATTAAAATATCTTATTAAACATGTTAAACAACATAATCAGATCGATTCAATATAATTGAATTTGATTTAAACATCACCACAAGATAATATGTGAATTTTATATGTGAATTTTACATTTTAGAATTAGTCTTCGGCTTGTATGCAAGTAATGTGTGGATATGTATATAACTTGAAATAATTTAGGTAAGAAATTTAGAAATTTTATGGCACCATAACGTTTACCGTTATTCAATGTAGATAGTAAATACGATCGAAATACATCGTAAGATTTTTATGCCAATATGGTATATCATTGCATACAATTTAAAAAAAAAACTTATCAAATTTTAAAAAAAAGTTTTGTTTTTTTTTTTACTATAGACAGTTTTACGGCAGGATAAACACTTCTCTCACACCATGGGGAAGATAAAGAAATGAAGAAATTGGGACCAAATTAGGAGCATTTTGTTATTAGCGTTTGTCACAAATCAAAGAAACCGCCGCGCTTGTGTTAGTTTAACAATAATTGTTTATACCCAATTTAACACTTCTCCTTGTCCTTATTTCATTTTTCTAGATTATACATTATTTATGTAAAGATAATTCCTAACTATTGTAAATAAAACGTTGTGTACGAGTTGACTTCTGATTTGTGTACGAGCTGACTTCTGATTTTTGTACAAGTTGACTTTTTGTGTACGACTCGGTTTGTGTTCGAGACGGTTTGTGTACGAGTTGACTGGACACCATAAATTTCAATATTTTTCGAGTTACTTAAGTAGATATCTTTAAAAAAACAAACAACAGCAATAACAAAGAAAAACAAACAAACAAAAAAAATTGCATTTCTTTATACGAGGGGTGATCAAAAAGTTCGCGAACTATCTATATATCTACAAAACCACAATTCAGATTAGAAAAAAAATTGGCACACACATAGCCATACAAATTCTTTTTAAAGTTCTATAAATAGCATATGCTGAATAAAGTTTTGCTCCTTGTTTGTGACCAATCTCTCACCAGAGGGCGTTTTACGCTCATCGCTCCAACATGTAAGCCTCTGGTGAGAGATTGTGTTTGTGACGTTACAATGTGGAAATGACGTCAATACGTAGGTCACTCGTGACGAAAAATGGTTGTCTCAGTCGTCCTCGTTGAACGAACGAGTGTAAGATTAATCGGTATATCTTAGAAATCCCTTTGAAGTAGCGTATAATACTTTGTACACAGTTTATTAAGACAAATGACTTCCTATAAATTTGATAAATGATTGGATTGATCGTTTTAGTAAAGGAAGGCAGATAATTGAAAATGACACTTGTTATGTTGCCTAGTGAAAGCAAGTTTAAAAAGAAATGTGTTTTTAATTAAGCAATTTGCTATCAAAGACGTTTAATTTACACATTGAAAAATAGTTGAATATTTTAACAATAATATAATTATTAAATACCTGAGAAATAGTTTACTTTAGATTTTAAACATATTAATTATGATAAAAAGGAGGTACCCATTCTCTATCCACCTTGAATAAACGTCTCTCCAGAGACAGAATATTTGGGTTTTGATGATCTCCATGCTTATTTTTGGAAAGGTTATTCTTATCCACCCATTCTGTTGTCGAAATTTGACCATTTCTGACAAATGAACTGTTCTAAGTTATAAAAATTAACTTACATGGAAAGAAATATAAAACTCAGAAAAATCTTTCAGCTTTTGTGACAGAATGCTACGGAGTGGGTCACGTGACCGCCTATATCACGTGATTCGCGCATGCGCAGAACGGTGGCAGATGTGCATTAAAACCGGAGGGGACTAATTTAAAATATAATCCAGGGTTTCAGATTGGCGTCGGCCATCGGCCATTCGCCGATAAAAATTCAAAATGGCAGGAAAAAATCAAATTTACCTGCCAAAATGGCCTATAAGTTTAACATTGAACAGACATAATGGCCGATTATTTTCTGTATGTAAAGGCCAGTCGTTTAGTTTCCCCCATTCAGAGCCGATTGTTTCTTTTACTACTTTCTACATCTGTAGATTCAATCAGCCATAGGTATTTGGGTATTAGATCTTGACAAAAAATACTCTAATTTTATTTCCAAATCCTTATGCAAAGAGCATAAAAGTAGTGATGATTGTTTAAAACATCGAAGGAATCCATGCCATACACAGCCCCTGTGTGCCATATTGATACTTTTACCGCCATGATTGAATATGGGGTCGGACTAATCGCACGAAACGGACAATGTTGCAAGATTTTACTATACTAAGGAAAACATTTTTAGTCTAGGCAATCTGTAAACGTAATTATACATATAATCAGAAATACAAGTCATATTTCTGGATAGCTATTTTTAAAACTTGTAATCCCAAGAAATATAAATACATGTACATGCAATGAAAGGTGGGACTAATATCAGTAAAATATCCATTGAATGGAATTTAAAAAAAAAACAATTTCCATTCTGTTTCAATATGATTTTGTTTAAAAGAAACAAAATATTATTTTCCACTTTATTAAAAGGAAAATTAATAAACATTTCTGAATATTTTATGTAATTAATTGCTTTTTTGTAAATGTCTGACAGAAATCTGACTAAGTTTAACTTTTCTATTGGCCTATAGTTTTAGAAAGTTTAGGACAGAATGGCCTATAACTTTTCTGGTAAATATGCCACTTGTCCTATAGTTTAATTATTTCAATCTGAAACCTTGTATTCAACACTAAAACCAAATATTGTTTCTTTTATGGAAGTTATTCAATTAGTTCGTGAACTTTTTGATCACCCCTCGTATTGTACTCACCAGATAAGGAATCTGTCATGGTCTGTTGACTTTTCTGTAGATCAGTTAGAGTCAAACTCAGTTTATCGTTGGCTGATCTCAGTTCTGTGTTATAAGCCTCCAAAGAATCATTAAGTCTACCTGATATCAACTCGTATCTGTTGTCAATGAGTTCCGGAATATTCTTGTCGATTTCCAGACTGTGTTTTTGGAGGTCCAGAAGCGTAATGGATAAATACCGAACTTCAGTTTTAATGTCGGCTAAGATACCGGACGTGTTCTGTTCAAACAATTGTTTTTCCTTTAGCAGCTGTGTTTCGAAAACTCGGCGACTGGCGTCAACCACTGTTAAATTTTCTTTCAAAGACTCGATATTCTCATTACATTTGGTAACTTTGTTGCTTAATCGATTGTTTTCCAGCTTAAGCGATCGCACCTCTTTCTTCAACTCGCCTATTTCTCTGGTGGTTGTTTCTTTCAGCGAAGACATCTCGCTTTCTGAAGACACGAGACTTTGTTGAAGGGAGACCATGTCTTTCATCAGTGCGTGGACATTTTTCACCAGTGTCATTCGGATCAGGGTCTCTTGATTTAGTAACTGTCGAAATACGTCTACATGTTTAGTATCAAGTGAACCGAAGTCTAAGTCTGTTGAGTTCTTGATATTGCTGTCTGTTAGAACTGAGAAAGCGTGGGACCCAAATAAACTTATTACAGCGAACGAAAAAGACGACAAACGCTTCATGATTGAAACAAAATCGGGAAAATCAGACAAATTGTATGGCATTCACATTTTATACCGACTATAAAGGTGTCTTTAATTAACGTAAAACCCCAATCCAAACAATCAAGATAGCTAATAAATTATTTCCTGAGTATGTGAGTGCATCCATCAATAGTTTTAGCTCACCAGTGTCACTATTTCAATGATACTTTATTTCTTAAAAGATGATAGTTTTGGAAGACTCGATAAAGAAGAGAACGGGCAGAAACTGGCCATTTGATGAGCCAAACCTATCTGGCGAGTTTTAATCCACTTTATTGTTCCCCTACCACTATACCGCAGGTTTTACCTTTGTATGTTTGTCTGATGGTTCCTTGGTATTATAGAAGGTTTTAGCTGAACTTTGAGAAATTACTGATTGATATTAGGATAATTTGCAAGAATGAAAACCTAGATTTTGAAATATCATTTACATTATTGTAGATCACTTTATTTTCACAACACCCTATTTTTGCGAGATAGTCATTGATTCTTAACAAGCAAGACACAATTTTCACGAATTGTGGTCATTGCTCTATGTAATCCTAAGGTTATTCACGAGAATAAATTTTCGCGTGCACACATGTTTGCGAAAATAAAGTTCTCGCGAATCAAAAGTGATTTACAGTATATTTTTAATTAAATGATTTGTGATTTATGGAGATAACGAACGGTATACATCTACAAGCTCAAAAGTCCATTTTTTGAATTCGACTTTTTAAAAAATAATTATGCATTTATCCCCGATGTTATGGTATGTAATTATTGACTTCCAAAAATTTTATCATGTAGACATATATATGTCATCAAATTTTTGTCAGTTGGATATGGTTACTGTTACTTTTCTGCATTTTTGCAAACGTTATTTCTAGAAATGTTCAAAAATGCTATTTTCAAAATTGAGGCATGTTACCATGGTAACCATGAAACATAGCAGTCAAGTTTTTATGTTTTGTTAGATGTTGTTTAATGTCCTTCTCAAGAATATTTCACTCATATTGAAAAGCCAGCCTGATATGAGTTTATGATGATATATTCTTTTTTTAACTGCAAGTTTGAAGAAAATTGCCTCTGATATTACCGTTTATATTCTCGCCTATTTAAGTCGATCCGCCCATAAATCGGTTGTATTTAAGCTTATATATCAGGGGAACTTACCTCATATAATAACATTCTTTTTATAGCTCGCCTTTAAGTCGGACAAAGAGTTTCGGACCAGAGATTAACTCCCAAAAATCGATTTATAGGCGGGAATATACGGTACATGAGAATAAATGTTACTGCTGACTGTCCCTTGATGACACTCATAGAATGGATGTTTCAATTGGTGCGCTTTTTTTCAGAAAAACAATAAAGTTATGGTTTATGCAATAGTTACTCTTTTAAATAGTCTTCTATTTAACATTTTTATAAGAAGTCTTGATGAAATAATGGCCTTTTTGATTTCCAAAGCTGAATCATGGTTTTAATTTTGGGTTTTTGTTTACAAACATTGGATGTTACAGCCCATGAACCTCACTGTTGAGTATATCAAGTTTTAGGTGGAGAAGGATTTTTTGGAAAGATACAGTGGAATTAAATTAATGGATATCTAAAAGAATAAATGGCGTAATTAGTATTTCAGACATTCATGACCTTTGGGAAAAGATGCACCTTAAATCACGGTTATCTAACGTTGGGATCATTAAGTCTTTTCCTACAACTAAAACAGCGTATGTACTTAATTTATAGAATCATTTGCATTGCTGATAATCGATAGTATGCTGAAAGTGAAGTCATTTACTTAAATAGACCAGAACTATTGCGTTTTCATCTTCTAGATAGTCTGGCAAGAAGTTCTCACCTCTGTATATTTAAAGACAAGAGATTTTAAGCACCGCCTTCAAAAATACTTGGTCTGGATACCCTGTCAATCAAGTGCATGAAGGTCCATCGGTCCATCATTGGATGCTGGAATTCGATTGACACTTACTTACTGGTCTCTGTGTATACCCTGAACACCTTGTTTGGGACTCGTGGTGACCTTCTACTTAACATTTGATCCTTTGATGTTTACTGAACATAGTATACAGGAACTGTATAACTATGAATTTTTTTGATTATATATGAATTAAATATACCTTTAGTATTTGAAAGGATTATAATATAATATGCATTAAAAAAAATAACCTTTGGTACATATTTTTTTTTTCAAATGAAATTTCGATTTTTAATTTTTATATGCTAAATGGTAAACCTAAAGTGAAGATGTTATTAATTAAGTTCAGAGAAGCGCTGTGTGAAGTACTAGTAATTAATTTTAAAAATAATGTTTCTAATCATGGGTCACTTAATATGATTTCCTTTTTAAATCAAATAAGAATTTACGAGCAATCTTTTTAAAACGTATCATGGTGACAAAGCTTTATTAAGGTATCCGACCCATATTAGGACCAAATTTTCTAACCTTAAATATCAATTGTTTGTAAAATATCCTGATATTATTTTAAAGCATTTTAGAGTAGAAAGGGATTTACCACGAGAAATTTTCAAAAATTTTATTACGTAAGCAGAAATTATTTTAAAGCATTTTAGAGTAGAATTTATTAATTTATTATCATTCAACAATTTGTACATTATAGATGTCCATTTGATGTTATGGGGTGTTGAATCATTATTTGATCAACAAAATGTAGAAATTTTTAAAGTTATTCATACCTTTTTAAAAGAATGTGGTAGATTCTCTGAAAAATCTTAATTTTTTTTGTATATATAGAAATGTATTATGGTATCAAGAGTTTACAGTCTTTGGCACTACTAACTGATTTGTTACTGAAAACTATTGTTCTTTATTTTGGCAATGTTATAAAATTTTGTATAAGGAGAAGACTATCTAAGTTGTTAGAACTTGTGTCTTATCATTTTGGCTTTAATTGTCAATAAAATGTGTTCAATTCAATTTAGTAGAAAGGGATTTACCAAGAGAAATTTTCAAAAATTTTATTACCTATGCAGAAATTAATTATTGAAGATTGCATTGAAGTCTATGGAAGGAAGTAAGTTTTTTAAGATAAAAACATAAATACTTCAAATATGAAAAAATGCTGTGGTGGAAAGATGTATTTGATCATTGGGAATAGAAAAACAACTAGAAATAATTTTTTTACCAGAC